ATTGCCCAACCTTCCTTCTGAGGAGTAGCTGGTGGGTTTGAACTGCCAGCCTCTGGTTAGGACTCAAATGCCTTAGGCCCTACGCCACCAGAACGCCTATCAATATACCTACAAGGCTAAAACTCTGTGCTAAATTACTTTTTGAACTTTTGCATGTGTGGAGCTCTGGTGGAACAGTGGTTAAGCATTTGGCTGCTAACCAAAAGTCTGTGGGTGGAATCCACCAGCCTCTCTGCAGGAGAAAGATGAGGACAGTGCTTCCATAAAGATTGAAGCCTTGGAACCCTATGGGTGGTTCTGCTCTGTCCTGTAGGATTACTACGAATCAGAATTGACTTGATGGCAGTGGGTAATGTGCTCTCTACAGAGCTGTCATTGTTACGCAATTACAGTGATGCTTTGAATCATGGCACACTGCTGTTTTCATTGCTGCTGGTGCTTTTATAGTCAATGATTTTGTCAAATTTTCTGGTGTTTTAGCTACAATACTGTGGTATGTAGTACTTGTGAATCTATATCAATAACTTCTTTTTAAATTTGTTGTTGTTGTTGTTTGCCGTCGAGTCAGTTCTGACTCATAGCGACCCCTCCTTGGGTTTCCGAGGCAGTATCACTACGGAAGTAGGATTGCCCAACCTTCCTTCCGAGGAGTGGCTGGTGGGTTTGAACTACCAGCCTTCTGGTGAACAGTCAAGTGCCTTAAGCACTATGCTACCAGAGCTCCTACTTTTTAAATAATAATCTTTATTGAATATTTACCACATATCTGAAGTAATCCTAAGTTGTATTTATTTACTTATTAATTCTTAAAATATGAGGAAGGAATGATATTAGCCTCACTTGCCAGTTGTCACTGATGATGAAAGATCTGCAAGATGAACACCTGCAACAAAGCTAATGATGAGAGAAAATTCATTGTTGTTGTTGTTAGATGCCATCAAGTCAGATCTGAATCATAGCAACACTGTGTACAACAGAACAAAGCACTGCCCAGTTCTGTACCATCCTCACAATCCTTGCTGTGCCTGAGCCCATAGTTGCAGCCATGGTGTCAGTCCATATGACTGAGGGTCTTCCTCTTTTTCTCTGACCATCTACTTTACCCAGCATGAAATCCTTCTCCAGGTACTGTTCCCTCCTGATAACATGACCAAATTATGAGAGAAAAAGTCTGGACATTCTTGCTTTTAAGGAGCATTCTGGCTGCACTTCTTCCAAGACAGATTTGTTTGTTCTTCTGGCAATCCTTGTTATATTCAATATTCTTCACCAACACCTTAGGCAATGGCTTTTTTGTTTGCTGTGTGCCCTCTGCCTAAAACATTATTCCTCCTTCTTGTCTTGGCTAGCTTCTATTCATACTTAAGATTTCATATTATGGACCACTTCCTCTTGGAAGCTCCGGTGGTGTAGTGCCTAAGGCATTTGACTGCTAACCAGAAGGCTGCCAGTTCAAACTCACCAGCCACTCCTCAGAAGGAAGACTGGGCAATCTACTTCCATAGAGACATCACCTTGGAAACCCAATAAGGGGTTGCTATGAGTCTAAATGACTCCACAGCAGTGAGTTTTTTTTTTTTTTTTTTTTTTCCTCTTGGGAGGTTTCCTGAACTCTCACCACTCAACCCTCATTACCCTCCAAGAAGGGGTTCTATGCCTCTCTGGTCCCATAGCCTGTGCTTCCCTCATCCAGCACTATGCCACGCTAGCAGTTGGCTATTTATATGTCTGACGCTGTCACTAGGATTCTAACTTCCTGAGGTCAGGGACCATGATAGTCTTACTTACCACTGTTATCTCTAGTACCTAGATACTCACATGACTAAACCAAACCAAACTCATTGCTGTCCAGTAGATTCCAACTCATGGAGACCTGGTGTGTTACAGAGTAGAACTGTGCTGCATAGTTTTCTCTCGGCTATAATCTTTACAAAAGCACATCTCCAGGCCGTTGTTTGGCAGCGTCACTGAGTTCAAACCACCAACCTTTCAGTTAGCAGCCATGCACAAACCACTTGTGCCACCCAGGGACCTTCTCACATGACAGGTCCTTATAATGCTTGATATATAAATGAATAAAACATGAATGAGTGGAGAGAGCAAGTGGCAGAGGATCCCTCCTCTGGTCTGAAGTGTGGTTCTCCATAGGTGAGGAGCCTCTGGGGCAATGGAAAGGAGCAGCAGGCTCTGTCCTTCCTCTCTCTCCTCCCCTTTTCTTCCCCTTCTGTCATTGCACCTTTCCTCCCCAAGCACCACATCCCCCGGTGGTGTAAGCTTGAGCTCCCTCTATTGGCCACACTTCAGAACCGCAGGGAGCCAAGCCCAGGTACCCCTGGCTTGTTCCACTCTTCCTTCTGGAAAGACCTTTCAACTCCTATCCTCACTCCAGGGTTCATGAGGGACTGGAGTATGAAGAAAAAACAGGGCTACCTCACATACAATACTGGATGTTTCCAGGTCTGAGGGAAGTGTTTCTTCACACCCTCACCTCATGCTCAGCTTCCTGGGGGTCTCCATTCCCAGATTTCTCCTACTCCAGTCAATTCACAGAGATATTGATTTCTGGAGCCTTTGGCTGATATATCAGGTCCGACTGTGGAAGAGTGATCCCAGGTGGGATGGGAATTGAAAAACAGAAAGAGACAAGCAGAGAAAAAGGGACCAAGAGTGACAGAGATACAAACCCACAGAGAGACAAAGATATAGATCAGGGCTGAGAAAGACAAACCACAAGGGTGTGTTCCCAGCCCTGTTCCACCCCCATGGGCTCATAGTAAACCAGGACTCCAGCCCAATGAGGAAAGATTTCCCTCACCCCATCAGTCTGCCTATAAAGGGGTAAATGGAGTGATGGTGTTCATCAGATCTTCAGGCCAAATGGAAATGTATCTGGATGGCAGGGTGGCTGCTGGACTACTCTGGGAACCAAGAAAGCTCTCCCGCCTCCCACTCCATCCCCTCAAAGAGCCCAGCCTGGTGCTCACATCCTCGCTGTCACTTCCACTGAATGAGTGCTCTGGCTCCAACCCCTTCTCAGGGATGCTCCGCTCCTCCTCTGGCATCAGCTCATCCAGCCAAAGAAGTTCCTGTGGCGAGAAGATCCACTCCAGTGCCTTTCGGACCCCCACTAGGCCCAGCAACTGCAGGAATAGAAACATAGCCCAGAACCGTCAGCAACAGCAGCAGGAACATTAATTCTGCCTACGTTTTGGGGCAGTTCCTATGTGCTGGGCTTTGCACATTGTTTCACTGAATGCTAACACAATGCTAAGAATTAGATACAATCATTAATTCCATTGTACAGAAAAGGGAACTGGTACTTGAAGAGACTAGTAACTTCCCAGAGGAAGCATGTTGGTCTTACTGCAAAGCCCATGGCCCTTAACCTCTTTAGTGAGTAAGAACAAGGTTAGAAATTACCTGTGTTATCAACTCAGTAACTAAGGTGTCAGCATTCCCTCTCCCAGGGCCTCAGTTTCCATATAGGCTTTATATCTCTACCTTGTGGTTGATCAGTGCAAAGTGAATTAGGTATCCCATCTAAGTGCATCCCTCACCCATCTTTCTTTGTTGTAGGATTCCCAACCTACGATTGCCCAGGTAGAGCCAGGGCAAATGAAATAGAGGATATAGATTTTTCCTTTTGTGAAGGCTTTGGCCATGCTTCCAGGGTCAGAGTCTCCCAGGAAACCCACAGAGATAGGGCCTACTTCCCAATCCCACCCCAAGTCACCATGAGGGGGAAGATGATGGCTGCCGGGGTAGACTTGATTGTCCAGAGCAGACCCAGACAGGCAAGCTGGATGGCTGTGAACAGATGGACTCTGCTCAGAGGCACATGCCGCAAGAGCAGCAGGTCTGGCTGGTGTTTTGCTGGCATCAACAATAGCTGCAACCTCTTCATGAACTGGGAACAGGAGGAGGAGACAAACAGAGCACTCAGGTAGCCTGGAGGGTGTCACTGTTAGTGATTCTCAGCTAGAAGTCTCCTTGACCCCCTTCTCACTCAGAATATAGCAGCATAGTCCCTGTGCCCAGGAGAGGAAGGAAGGGAGAGTGGGAGGGGAATTGGCAAGTGCCAGCAGGAGGTACTGGCGGGGAAAGAAAAGGAAGAGGACTTGGGTTGCTAGGTGATTTTAATGGGCTCACCTGGATACTGCTAAGTGCTGCCACCCCCATGTACAGGAAGATACCATACAGCACAGGCATCGGGATGAACTGGTAGAAATAAATGGAGAGTAGACAAAGGAGTTTGCTTCTGCCAGCCACCCAGACGCTCCACCTTAGGGACCTACTCTATCCCTCTAGCATCTAAGCCTGCCCAGGCCTTTCCTTTCCTTTCACACTTTGCATGCCTGATCTCATTGATACCTTACATCAATCAGGTGAGGCAAATTCTATTATTGTCTCCATTTTACAGATGGAAAAACTGAATTTCAGAGACCAAGCAACTTGCCCATTACCTGGCATACCTCTCCAATCTTGTCCATCGCAGTCCCTTCTATTCTCCATGCTCCCTCTCTACTGGCCTCCTTTCATGCCTCCAACATGCTTAGGCTGATGCCTACCTCTACCAAGGCTTTTTGCTTTGCTATTTCCCTTTGCCTAAAATGTTCCTCCCCTAGACCTTTGCATGGTCAGTTCCTTCTCATTACTCATGCTTCATCTCTTGACACCCAGAAAGGGCTTCCCTGACCACCCAATCTAAAGGAATCCCTCAGCCTAATCACTTTAAACACCCCCCCTTTTTTTTCCCACAAGTTATCACAGTCTGTAGATAGATAGGTAGGTAGACAGACAGACAGACAGACAGATAGATAGATAGATAGATAGGTAAAGCTTCACTGGTTTTGCTCCTCTAGGGAATCCAGACTAAGACAATCCATGTGAGGAAAAATACAAAACTCTGATAAAATAAATCAAAGATCTAAATAAACATGAAATATTCCATGATCATGGATAGGAAGACTCGTTATCATTAAGATGTTGGTTCTTCTGAACTCGATTTGTAAGTTCAACACAATCCCAATCAAAATCCCAGCAAGTTATTTTGTGTACATTGAAAAACTGATTCTAAAGTTTATATGCAAAGGCAAGAGATCCAGAATAGCCAACACAATACTGAGGAAGAACAAAGCTGGAGCATTGAACTATATGACTTCAAGAGTTACTATAAGGCTACATTGATCAAGATAGTGTGGACCTGTCACAACAATTGGTATCTATTCACCTGGAGCAACAGAGGAAGAAGAATCAAGAACAGGAGGAAGAAATGGAATGTGCGGCTAATTGCTTCCATGAACAAGTGCTTCCTTTGCTATGAGACCAGAACTGGATGGTTTCTGGCTGCCATTACTGAACATTTTGATAAAACACTGTATACAATAATCCTGATTAAAAGAGGGGTGTGATGAAAAAAAAAATGATCACAGTCTGGAATTATTTTTCAAATCTGCTTGCTCTCACTGGACTGCAAGGATGGGCATGTGGTATATTTTGATCACCACTGTATCATGCTTGACTATTAGCTGAAGAGTTGATAGTTTGAACCCACCAGGGATGCCTTGGAAGACAGGCCTGGTGATCTACTTCTGAAAGGGCACAGCCTTGAAAACCCTCTGGAGCAGTTCTACTCTGCACACATGGGGTCGCCATGAGTCGCGGAACTGACTCAATGGCAACCAACAACAATATCCTCAACACCTGAAACCATACCTGGCACATGGCTTAGGCTCAGGAAATATTTGCTAGATGAGAGTCACCTAGTTAGTAAGTGGCTGATCAGGTCCATCTGGCTCCTACTACTCCACTCTCACCCAACCTCTGTGACCTTTCCCTTCCGTAACGTCTTGTCATCTTGCCAGTGACTCCTGTCTAGCACTCTCCACATCCTCCTTGACTGCTTCACTGCCTCAGCTTGTTGAACTTTTCTGCTGTTACTTGTTAAGTAATTTATGTCCAAGCGCGCGCGCGTGTGTGTGTGGTTGTGTATGTTGCTGGCAGGGGCTTGGCTGCATATTCCTTTTCAGTGCCCACCTCCTCTCACCTCCCACTTCTCCCAGGTGCCTAACAGAGTCTTGCACACAGCAGGTGTTCTATAAACATCTGGTGAGGGAGAAGTGAGGGGGTTTTGCCTCAAAGTTTTCCTGGGATATGATGCTCAGACTTGGAGTCTAAGACTTGTTGAGAGGCTGGAGTAAGGTTAGTGCTTGGACCCTAGAAGGTGATGGGGCCCTGCTCTACTGGGTGAAAAACTCACTGGATAATAAGTTGGGTCTTCAGATAGATCTGAGTTCAAAACTGGCTCTCGGTGGGCCCTAGCAAGCTACTTAGCCTCCTTAACCTTCAGGTTCCTCATTTGTAAAGTTCATGTGTCTCCCAGGGTTAGTGTGAGGACTAAATGAGACCATATGTGAAGAAAACAATACAATACCTGGCAAACAGCAAGTGCTCAAGCATTGTCAGTTCTTGCTATATTCGTAATTTTCACTGCACTGACCCTGACCTCAGCCTGTCGAACAAAGTACCTTGAGCACAGGTGCCAGGAAGATGGAGACTCCTGTGAGAATGAACACCACCAGGCCTGTCAGTCTCTGCTCCCTATGGGATGAAGAGGGGGTGGCTAGCCAGAGTCCCCAGAGAGCCCCTGGGGCACCCCCTGGAGACTCTGACTGGACACTGCTACAGATGGCAACAGGGGGAACTAGAAGGATCCCCCAGTAGTTAAGCTGGCAGATAGAGGGCCTTAGCTTGGTGTGAAAAATTAGTGGAGAGGAGTGGGCAGGGCATTTCATCATGGGAGTCCCAGGCCTCTCCATGGGCTCAGGTTTGTAGATGCTCTTGTTTTTATTTTCATGGGAAACTAGCAATTTTTTTCATGGCCACAAAGACTCACATTTCACAGTTTACAAAGCTGACTTCACATACTTTAGACAGTGAAATTATATTTCCAAAGGTTATACAATCGTTCGTGTACTGGCTTGTTTTGTATCATCAATGATGAGCTTCCACACTGAGGAGATTATTGGGTGTCACTTTACCCTCGACCTCAGCCCTGGCTGCCTCCACCCTTAGATCAATGATGTCCCTTTTGAGCTCCACCTTCCCCAGCCCCCATAACCAGACTCAAAAGAGGAGGAAAGGGACAGATCTGCCTCAGCCATCTCAGACCCTAGAACCCACCCACTCACCCCAATGCCATGCTTATGGACAGTGAGACAGCCCTCTGGAGTCACCAGTTTAGAATTCAAGCTGCCAAAATAACTTTGTACTATGCTACCCCACCTTGCTGCCCACCTCTCACTCCAGCCCCCTGAACACTGGCCTCACCTGATGCCCAGGAAACGAGGGGACTCCCCAGGGGCACAGGCTTTGCTCTCCCTCCGAAGACTGTCCATGTGGGCCAGGGAAATGACAGTTGCCGAGACATACCAAGGCAGCCCAAGTGCCGAGGTGAATAGCATCAATACAGCCACACAGAAGAGGTCCAGGTGGAAGCCAGCCCCCTTCTGCAGGTAGTGGTGGAGATAATGAGGATGAAGCTAGAGGCCTGGGCCCTCTGTCCTCTTGGGGGAGGGGGGAAAAGCGGGAGCCAAGATCCCACCCTGGAGCTTCTGCCCCTTGGCCTAAGGGTCCAGGGCCTTACTGGGCAGGCCTTACCTGCAGTCTATACTCTGCGCGGTTAAGGATAACTGCTGTGATCTGCTGGTCCATGAAGATGAGGATAGACAACAGTAGGGCAGGCAGGGCTGCTGCCACACTCAGCCACCAGGGGTTGGCTCTAAAGGGTGACACCAGCCAGCTACGCCCAGAGAGGGTGGGCTGGGAGACAGCATCCCACGGACAGATTGGAAAGGGTCTTCCAAGAATGCCTCCTTACACACATACTCCAGCCCTGGCATTCCTTCATGAACCCACCCCTCCCAAGACATGATACTAGATAAGAACTGTGTGTGTGTATGTGTGTGTGTCTCTGTGTGTGTGGACACCTGCACGAGTGCATACATATGGTTCAAAGAATCCCAGTGCCCTAAAAGAGGGCAGAAGGAAGGAGTTGAAGCCAGGCTCTGGACTTTGGTTCTCAAGATCCCTCCTGCCCTGGAAAATGAGGAGGAGGAGGAGGAAAAGGCCTGCCTACACTTCACAAAGACCTCCTCCCTAGGCACCACCTCCCTCTCTTCCAGGGTAGGGCAACGCAAGCTCAGACCTGCTTTGGACTGGGACAGAGGCAGGACTGGGTGTGTCTGCATCTGCTCTGATTATAAGCGTCGGTGTGGGGGTGGGGGCCCAGTTGTAGCCTCTGGTTCTGAGCCTCTGAGGCTTCCCCGCTGCTGCCCTGTCTTGGGGAGAGGTAGTGGGGAGGACAAGTCTGAGAGTCAATGCTAACCCTTGTCCTGACCACTGACTGTCTGGGGAGGGTGCTCCAGCCCGAGTGTCATGTGGTCAAAGCCGGTGATAGAGGTACCAAAAAAACCAAACTCACTGTCACTGAGTTGATTCCAACTCATAACCACCCCCACTGGGTTTCCAAGGCTGTAAGTCATTCCACTCCCTTTCCCACTTGTAGAGAGGGCCTAAAGCCATGAGCCTCTCCCATCTTTCTTCCATGGAGAGGCTGGTGGGTTTGAGCCATCAACCTTTTGGTTAGCAGTCAAATGCCTTAACCACTACACCACCAGAGCTCCTTCAGAGCAGGTGATATGGGTACCAAAAAAAGAATGGGGAATAGTAGAGTGGGCAGTGCCAGGCTAAGAGTAGAGAGAACCTGTAATAATAGCTGACATTTATGGAGGTCATGGTATGTGCAAGATACTGTGATAAGTTGCTTTACACTATGATCTTCTCAAAACAATCAATCTAAGGGGTTGTTGTTGTTGTTGTTATGTGCCGTTGAGTTGGACCTGACTCATAGCGACCCCTCCTTGGGTTTCCGAGGCAGAATCACTATGGAAGTAGATTGCCCCATCTTCCTTCCGAGGAGTGGCTGGTGGGTTTGAACCACCAGCCTTCTGGTTAGCAGTCAAGTGCCTTAGGCACTACACTACCAGAGCTCCCAATCTAAGGGGTAGGCACTATTATTAGTTATTATTTCCATTTTATAGATGAAGATATTGAAGCTCAGAAATGTGGATTAACTTGTCTAAGATCACACAGCCAGGAAGCGGCAGAGCTGGAACTCAACCCTAGAACCAAATGACTAGACCCATGCTCTTAACCACTTACCTATAATAGTTATTGTGTATTCTGTACTCACCATGTCTGGTGTGGTACCTCATTTAATCCTCACAACTACGTGAGAACAATACTAGTATTATTCCTATTTTACGAGTGAGGAAACTGAAGCTTATAGGAGTAGAAGAGGGAAGGAATCTATGCATATTCCTCCTCGAGGGTCCTGCTGGCTTGCCTTGCCTTCCCTTCTGCTCACCCCCCAACTCCCAGCTCTTACCTTGAACTCTCTGGGCACCACAAGCTTTGGTGTGGCTAGGCCCAGGAAGGCATCAAGGCCACAGCCCAGCAGGATGGCCAAAACTGAGGAGAAGTCGCCGAGCACCTTGCGTACCTGGCCACACAATGGATGCTCAGAGTCAGCCCACCATCTTCTTCCTTCCACTCCCTTTCCCACTTATAGAGAGGGCCTAAAGCCATGAGCCTCTCCCACAGAAATAGCGGGGACACTCACCACAGACGGGAAGAAGCGGCTGGTCTTGATATGCTTCAGGGCCATAGCAAAGAGGAAAGAGGTAAGGAAAAGGAGGAGGGAGAAGAAGGTGATGTCTGGGACCATATGACAGCCAGGGCCACGAGGATGGCCTCCCCGCTGGGCACACTCAGGTGGGGGCAGCAATGATGCATTTATCAGACCTAAGTCCTGTATGGAGAGGTGGTCAGGGTGGTCATGGCAATGGAATGAACATCCCGCTCTCCTGACCCCACCTCATGCAGAGAGGGACCCATTGAGATGACAGGAGCCTAGGGTGGGAGGTCTCTAGCCATGGAAAATAGCCTATAGACTGGGAAGATCCAGGAACCACAGAATATTTTGTCCTCCATCCTTCTCAGACTCTCACCATGCTTAATATGTCACCAGTGTCTTTTGATCTTGTCTTTGTCCATTGAGACTCATTTTCTGAAAGTAGAGAAGAATTCAGGTGTATGTCTCCTGCCTTTGGAAACTTATCCAGTCCCACAGAAGCCTAATCTGAGAGAACTAAACGAATCACAGAACCAGAGGGTTCTTGGCTCTGACATACCTGTCTGTTGACTCCACTGCTACCAAGTGTGTGCTTCTTAGGTCATTCCCTCATGCCCTTCCACTCTTAAATTCTCTACCCATACATATCCCTGGTGCCCAGCACAAGACCTGGCAGAGAAGATGCTCAGCAAATGTTTGATGAATGGATATGCACATTGACTTGTTAGATTTACAAATCTATATGTTTCCCCCAGGGCCAGGACTGGTCTTGTTTATGCCTAGCATAGCATCTGGCACATGTTAGAGGGAACACTTCCCCAGTCCTGTTGTTTCAAGTATAATATTCCAAACCCCTCTGGGAGAAGAAGCTGATGTGCCAGGACTAGATCCTTCCTTTCTCTTCTCTTGGGAGTAAGCTGCCTGCATGGTGCATTTAGCTCTGCTTCTTTTGGGCAAGACTATCTCTCTCTAACACTGCCATGACTGGGTAGATGTGGTTGTGTGCCATCAAGTTGATTCCAATTCATAGCAATCCTATAGAACAGAGCAGAACTGCCCCATAGGGTTTCCTGGGCTGTAATCGTTGTCAAAGCAGACTGCCATATCTTTCTCCCACATAGCAGCTACTGAGTTCAAAATGCTGACTTTTCAGTTGGCAGCTGAGTGCTTACCATTGCGCCACCAGGGCTCCTGACTGAGTCAGTAAGTCTATCTAATTTTGGTTTCATTGTTAGGATGCCCATTCACCCATTGGTGTATGTAACCCATGTTCTTCTACGGTATTTATTGTCAGCAATAAAGAAGATATTAGGTCTCCTTCTGCCTACTCCATGGTCTTAGTTCTCAACTGATTCAGAACCTGAGTGGAAAGCAGTCCTGCTGGTTATTGGGTCCTCTCAAAGACCTCAACAGTTCTGTGCAAGTACTCATCATTTTGCTGGATATAACCAGGAATGGCCAGTGAGGGGATGATCCTTCCCCCTCCTGTACCTCTCCTACCTGGCCAATCTCCCTCACCCACCTCCTGGGCCTGGGAACTCGCAGAGACAGCCATAGACAGTGGACTCTGCTAGGGCAGGGCCAGGTCTTTGGATAGGATATGTATAGGCCAAGTTCAGCATTTTGCCCACGGCATCATAGATGAAGATGAGGCTGATGAGGGCACAGAAGCTTTCCTCCGTGAAGCGAGTGAAGTAGCGCACCAGCACACTGGCCTCTGTGGCCACCAACACCAGGCAAAAGGTGGCCACCCAGATACCCACCCATAATCGGAAGGGTAGGTAGTCCAGGCTGTAATCTCTGGGGGGTGAGAGATAGGCTGGACTCAGCAGGGCTGTTCTGCTCCCTACCTAACCCAGGTTAGGTGCCCCTCAAGCCAAACAAATAGCTCCCAACCTCCTCTATTGACCCAGGCAGGACCAGACCAAGGATGTAGCTAGTGAGGATTTGGTGAGGTGGGGAAGCTCTCCTACCTGCTAAAAGAGAAGAGCAGGTGCTCAAAGACCAGCACTGGCCCAGTGCTGCTAAGGATGGTGAGGGGCTGGCCGGCCATCAGGCAGAAGGCAGCTCCAGCGACTGCTGTGCCTAGGAAACTTTCCAGCACCCCCTGGAAGCCAACAAAGGCTCAGGAGCCCAAGCTTCTGGGGACCCTCTACAAATCCATCCAAAGTTCCATGGAAGGGCAAGGGCTGTACACCAAAGCTTGCAACCCACAGGCAGCTCCACCCACCTGGGCACCATCGGTGGCATCTCCCAGCAGCCCCCCAAAAGTGATGGCGTTGGTGACAGTGGCTAGGTAAATGTAGAGCACAGCGGAAACGCACTGGAGGTGCAGGGCGTCCAAGAAATCGCTGGGATACCACGAGGCCTTCCGGCGCACGTCCTGGACAAGGCCCCCAAACAGCCTCCCGCCCGTGGGTCCTCAGTGAACCGGGTTCCCATGCTCCCATCTACTTTCCTGTACCCGGGTGAGCCCCTCCCACAGAAGGCACACACCTCTGAGCCACTGTGACTCCTCCCCTACCCAGGAACCCAATCCTTGCTCTCACCCCAGCTTGCCTCACCTGCCAGTTCGCTGTAACTCCAGGTTCGGCGAGTGTGGTCCGTGGCCGTGCCTGTTCTCAGCCGCCGCCCCGGGAGGTACAGAGGGGTCTCTGATTTCCTGTAGTTGTGAAATGGGTCTGAACAGAAGGGAAAACCCACGTTAGCCGAGGGTCTCAAACCAGTCAGCGACTAGACACGAGAGTGCGTGACGCCCTGCCCCCTGGCGGCTGCTCAAGTTCCTGCCGGCCAGGGTAGTCTGACCGAAACAAGGCCTCTCACGAAGGAGGTCCGGGTCCTATTGTGCCATTCTTACAGATGGGACCGAAGGAATATGAGGCAATATACTTCCCTAAAGATTTACGGCCTTGGAAACTCAATGGAGGTCGCTATGAGTCGGAATCCACTCGATGGCAGTAGGTTTGGTGTTTTTGGTTTTACAGATGGGAAAGCGAGGCTCAGGGAGGAAGAGGCACTCTTTTGAGATCTCACATCGAGAGAGCTTGGAGCAGGACTCAGCGTGAGGTCTGCCTGACTCGAATCCAAAGATAGGTCCCTATGAGTTTCCTGAGACCCTAGCTCCTCCCCAACAGTAGAAGTAGACTGAAGACCTGTAGGGAAGGAACTGTATGGGATGATGGCCTTTGGGTACCTTTTATGCTGAGAGGGCAGACATTTGGGCGGCGGAATCCGGGCTGTCGGATCCCACCGACCTGGGGGGAGCACTGTCACTTCCTCTAGGAAGGCATCCAGGGCTGCCAGAAGGTCATGAAGGTTGCTGGCCCGACGAGCTGACCACTGGAATTGCTGCGAAAAGGGCATAAAACAGGTATACGTGCAGATCTGGACCCTTACATGTACTTTCTCAATCTCTAAACTACACACACACAAGTCACATAGGCAGGCAAGTCACTCAAGTATTCATTCATGCTTACATTCAGTGGCGTCACTGGGGGGGAGGGGTGTGTACCGCACCGGTGACATTGTCAGAGGGAGTGACACTAAAATGACCATAAAATCTTTGCGGACTGTTTTGGCAGACATTTATTATTATTTCTTAAAACATCCCTGTTTTTGCTTTTATAACAACAATTTTTTGTTATTGTAACAAAAACATTTTTTGTAAGCCCACCTTCCTTGTATCAATATACCCACAAGGCTAAAGGTCTATGCTAATTTACTTTTTGAATTTTCTAATGCGTTCTGGTCAGAGCTGTCATTATCCAATTACAAGGAAGCTTTGAGTCACGTGGTTTCATCTGCAGGTGCTAAAAGCACTTGCTGTTTGTTGCTGCTGGTGTTTTTATAGTCACTGGTTTTGTCAAATGTTCTGATGTTTTAGCTACAATATTGTAGTAATTAGTATTTGTGAACCTATATCAATAACTTTTTTGAGAATGAAGTAGTCATTAAAGGAAAAGAAGGAGAAAAAAATTTTAAAAAGGCTTCTGCTAAGTTACTAATAATGTAACTAATAATGTAATTCAATGTAGAACAACTTTTCAAAACAATTTTGTTGTTAGTATTCATATAATCTAGTAACTATATTTAAGCAATTTACAGCTATCTGTATCACATACTATTCTATAATTAAAATTGACAATAAATTTAATTAAGAATTTTATATGGTCTTGTATGTGCTGTAAGAATGTCCAGGTGTATAGTAGAGCTGACAAGGTTGTGGTGACTTCTTAGCCACAGCTAGCTACCGTGAGGGAGTGAGTAGTTGGACCTGTGGGCTCAGGACCATGGTCACAGGGGACATCAAGCTCGATTGATAACATACTACACAAAAACATTGTTCTACATCCTGCTTTGGTGAGTAGTGACTGGGGTCTTAAAAACTTGCAAGGGAACATCTAGATGCTATGATGGGTCTCTCCTTGTCCAGATCAAAGGAGAATGAAGAAAATCAAAGACACATGGAAACAATTAGTCCAAGGGACTAGTAGACCATGTGATCCTCAGCCTATATGACCATGAGACCAGAAGAACCAGATGGTGCCTGGCTACCACTCTCAGCCACTCAGAGGGGGATTGGTGCAGGAGACTGGATAGAGTGGGAGAACAATGTGGAACAAAACTCAAAAACATAAAATAAAATAAAGACCAGGGTTGCTGGTCTGATAGAGCCTGGTGAGACCTCTGAGACTATGGCCCCTCATCACCCTTAAGGTCTGGACTGAACGTACTCCTGCGGCTTCCAGCCAAACAATAGACAGGCATATGGACTGAACATTTACATAAGATAGACACACTCCTTGGCGTGATCAATCATGGGAGAACAGAAGGGCAGTGTTTGCACAGGGAGACAGCTGCCGGGGGTCGGGGGGAGTACATGGGAGGGAAGGACATAGGGAAGAGGTAATGATGGGGAGGAAGTGGGAAGAGAACTGTTACATTGTGGGGAATTGCAGTCACTGTCATGAAACAAAATGTGTATGACCTGCTGTATGGAAAATGAATTTGCTCTGTCAACTTTCAACCAAATCATTATAAAAATTAAAAAAACAACAAAAGAAAGTTATATATGGTCTGGTAAAGGAGGTAGTCCATGTAGAGATAGGGTGACACCATGAGTTACCACGCTGGGTAACACCAGCCCTAGTGATGCCACTGCTTGTATTCATTCACTTATTCATTCATTGAGTATTGAGCACCTACTGTGTGCTAGCATTCTGCTAGATAATGGGCTACAGTAGTGACCAAGGAAACCTCACTCCTCAAACTCACACAGTGCCACAACCTGCCTCCTTGCTGCATTCAGTCACCCAGACAGAGGGCAACATATGTACTCACGCAAGCCTCTGCATACCACATGCCTGTCCAGCTCACCAGGTCACTGAGGAGGACTGCGGCTGCCCGGCCCAGCTCATGGAAGCTCCTTCCCAGCACTGGGGGGCCAAGTAGGAGACAGAAAAATCTGAGGAAGGAACCAGGCCCCAGAGAAGGTCAGAAGCTGCTTTCCCACAAGGCAGTCCTGATATCTGAGGCTCAGCTCTGACCTCCCTGCCCAGCCCTGAACACACACATCTACTTTTCAGCCCAGACCACTGCCCTCCTGAACACCATCCTCTACAACCCTCAGAGAACTGGATCCAGAAACCCACAGTTCCCCTCCCCAGTAAAGGCCCACCCAAATAGCCTTACCTGCAGGGCAGGGGCACCTCGGTAAGGGGCCCCAGCACCACTGGATCCCGCAGCCGCACAAAGGCCCCCAGTGGCTGTGCCAGAAAGCCCAGCTCTCCGGCCAGCACAGCCCCTGCCTCGGCCCCTGGAGGCAGCTTCTGTCTTAGGGGGTTCTGATGCTGGGTGGGTGTCGAGGGAGATAGAGGATGAGAGGTTACTGGGGAGGGGGATATTGATAGGATCTTGGCTGATGAGGGGTCTGATGGAGGGTGGGTCTCTGTTAATCCCTGATCCTTCTCCCAGCTGTGCCCAAGGATAAGACACAAACCTGTTCCTTCAGGAGGGCTTCCTCATCATGAGAAGCCTTTCTTGAGTGGGGTGAGCCTACAAGACAGGATTATGCAGTGATTAATTAAGAGCACAAGCTTTGGGATGGATCCACCAGGGCTCCCTGACCAACTTTGCCATGGATAAACTATGAGACCTTCCCCTCTCTGGGCCTCTGTTTTCTCATCACTAATATGGGCATAATCAGGGTGTTACCTTACAGGGTGGTTGTATAGATTAAATGAGGTACTGTGTGTAAAGCTCCTGGCAACAGTGCCTAGCCAAGTACATCCCTTTGCATAGCCATGACTGTTAGGATTCCAGCCCCTCCATTCTTCTTCCACTACCATTATCCCTGGCTTTCCCTAGCCAATGAGTTCTGAGCTGAGATTTGAGTGAGGCTGGGCCACTTCTGGCCTAGGAAGGTGCAGGGGAGATCTGGGGTCCTTCCACCCCAAGGAGGGGTCTCTCACCTCGCCAGGGCTTGGTGCCTGTGTTCTGGATGTGGTGCTGGGGTTTCTGCAGCAGCAAAGCCTGCAGCTGCCCTTTGAGCTCTGGGCTCAGTGACTCCACACCGGTCACCTGCTCTGGGGAACCAACATGAGGCTCAAATCCCTTCCTGAGGGTTCCCTGCCCCAGCAATCTCCCCTTTTCCTTCTCCCCTAGGCTCCTTTCCCTCTGGGAGTCCCAGGGAATGCAAGGGCCAGGGAACTTGCTCCTCCACTCAGCTTTTTCATTGCCATACTGTAACAGAGATGGAGAATCCAAAGGGTGGGATGAGGTGGGCTCAGGAAGATTCTGAGACTTTGGGGGAATGTCATAGCTCCCAGGGTCCTCCCTGCAAAGGCTTCCTTCATACCTATGAGCTCCAGGAGGCTCTGGGCTGGGCAGTCCAGTAGTATAAGACCCTCGGACAGCAGGCTACGGAGCTTCTGGAGAGTGGGCAGTGCCAGGGTGGGCACATGAGGGGCACTCCACCGGCCTGCACCCACCTCCAATTTCTCCTCAAACAGCACCCACCTGTTGGGGAAGGGGGTGGAGGGTGTTATTGGGAACATCTCTCCCAGGTCCAAGAGTAGGGACACAGGGGAGCCAGAGAAGGTGAGACATTGGGAGAATCCTGAGCCCCTAGTGGTGCAGACTATACTCCTCCCTGGGTAGTCCCCTTTATCTTGGGTCTTGGGAAAGTAAAAACTAGACTGCAGACAAGGCTGGGCATCATGAAGGGTGAGGCTCTGAAATAAGAAAACAGAGAGTTGTCCTGAGTTGGGGTGGAGGGAGCCCACAAGAGGAACTGGGGATCATGAAGGAGGCCCTGCTGGGGAAGGGGAAGAATGTCATAAAGTTGGCCTGGATCCCACTCACCTGCCTGTCTCCCTCCACTCCAGAGCCTGGGGCCAGCCCAGTAGTTCATTCAGTTGAATGAAGAGCAGAGGGTCCTTGGGTACCTCCAGTTCCCTGCTGCCTGTATCTAAGGGCCCATCAGGGCTGGGGCCAGTGCCAAGGCCACTATCCAGCTGCCCTGCGGGAACATTTTCAGAAGCACTAGGAGCTTCAAACTCTTCCTGACCTGGCAGCTTCATCTTGGTGAGGTGCTCACAGAATCTTGGGACTAGGGCAGTCCTGGGTTCTGAAGCCAGGGGCTCTCGGGTAGGCCGCATTTATAAAGCACCTCTCACCATAGAACAACACAAACAGAGCAACAAGTCCTGCTGATTCCAGAGCAGACCAGGTCACCTCCTCCTCCTGCCTGCCACCTCTCATCTCCACCCAAGAGTATTTGAACCACCAGCATGGCCTTTCCCAGGCTCCAGAAATGCCCAACCTAGGACCAAGGTGTATATTGTTCATCTCCTGTAGGATCAGATCTGACCCCATCACATGTTGTGTGTAAACAGTAGTAAGGGGCTGACCTGGGTCTAAGGGCCGACACCCCCAGATTATGCTGCCCCCTGCCTTGTATCATATACAAACAACAAACACCCGGGACTGTTTTGGGTGTCACCAATGCAGACTGGGGGGGGGGGTCACAGACATACCCATTTGAACAAACAGGGACCCAATAACTATTGAGCAAGCTACTTCTGTGGAGATTGTTGTTGTTGTTGTTGTTAAGTGCCGTTGAGTCGTTTCCGACTCATAGCGACCCCAGGCACGGAGATACTGCCTCAGAAACCCAAGGAGGGGTCGCTATGAGTTGAATCGACTTGAAGGCAGTGAGTTTGGTTTATTTTATTTGGCTTGAATGGAAGCCAGGTGGCATAAGGAAGACAGCAGAGAGAGGCCCTGCCCATTAAATGATGGAAAATGGAGGCAGTTCATAGTGAACACAATGCCTGATTCTTAAATTGCTGTGTCCAGTAACTTCTGATAATTCCCCAAATTAGCAGCACCCCTAGGGTCGGCTCCTCTAACTCAGCTCCCAGTGATGATGGAAAAGGTTGTATGTGAAACATTCCTGAGATAAATGAACAAAGGGAAGTGTGGCCTGCTAGCAAGTGCTGCTGGGTCTACCTTCAAAATAGACCCAGAATCCCACCACATCTCCCTGCCTCCACCACTACTCCCCTGATCCATGTTGCCATAATTTCTCACCTGAATTATTTCAATAGCCATCTAGTCTCTTGAATAATCTCCCTCCTTCCACTCTTCCTTCTTTCCCTCAAAGTCCATTTTCCACACAGCAGCCAAAGAGGTCCTTTTAAAAGGTAATCAAGCCACGTTACTCTACTGCTCAAAACTCACAAAATGCATTCCCATTGCTCCTAGAAGAAGGCCCCTAGGTGATGCATTTGGTTTGCACTCGATTGCTAACCTGAAGATTGGTGGTTCTAATGTACCCAGCAGCACCACGGAAGACAGGTCTGACAATCTGCTTCCATTAATATTACAGCCAAGAAAATCCTGTGGCCCGGTTTTGCTCTGCAGCACATGGGGCTGCCATGAGTCAGAACCCACTTGCTTCAACTAACTCCTAGAGGATATGTCAGTCTCTTGTCATGGCTTACAGAATCCATAGTCTGGGCCAGCCCACCTCTCTGACCACATCTCATACCATTCTCCCTAGTTTACTCCTTTCTAGCCACAGTAGTCTTCTGTCTGTTATGCAAAGCATGTTCCTGCCTGAGGGTCCTTGCCCTTTCCTCTACCTGGCATGCTTTTACCCCACTTTACAACTGTCTCCCTGTCCCCTGGGTCTCATTTCAGAGGTCACCTTCTCAAGGAAACCTTCCATTTCTGTTCTCTAAGTTTCTCTGTGAGTCACTCTCCATCACATTTCTATTTTATTTCCTTCCTAGTTACTCGGACACACATGAGGTTGCTATGAGTTGGAATCGGTGGCAAGGCAACTAACGACAACAGTTGTCACTACTAGTAACTATCTCATTTATTTATTTATTTATCCTTTATTGCCTGCTCCCTACACACACACACAGAGAGAGAGAGAGAGAGAGAGAAATATACTGTCTACAGAGCAGGTATCTTATCTGTCTTCTTCACCGTTGCCCCTAGAGTGGTGCCTGGCACTTAGTGGCTCTCAATAAATACTTACTCTATGAGTGCATAGTGAGGGGAGGGGGAAGAGGTGGGAAAGGAGTCGCACTTCTCCTGGAGGCCACACGAGGGTGCTCCTCTCCAAGGACTGGACCTCTGGGGCCCCTCCCTTGGGCCTGGCTGTGGCGTTTGCCCCAAGACTACCCACCAGGGTGCCAAGATGGCAAGATGGCAGGAAAGTGTCTTTAATTCTCCTTGCCTGGTCCACCAAGGACTGGCCTGGTTAGGTGGGAGCACAACAGGGGAATGGGAAAGGGAAGGCCAATTGGACTTACCTGAACATGGGTCAACCCCAGCTGTTTACCAGGGACCTGAGAAATGAGAACCAGGCCAGCCCTCTCCACCAGCTTGTGGTGTGGACACAAACTTGCTTCAAGTCCAAGGAGGCCCCTGGGCAGGAGTTAGAGGAGTGAGTCATTATATTACCAGTTGGGGGTGGTGGTGATGGTGCTGGTCTGCAGGGGAAGTTGATTTCAGTTCCAGGAGGAATACAAACTAGCCTAGGGCCTGAGAGGGCAGGTAACCTCTATAAAACTACCCCTTCCCCTTCAAGAATGTGCAAACGTTAAGAGAAATGACTAAAGGGAGATTGAGAAGGTTGGGGAGCACTGACTTGGCATGTACTCCACACCAGAAATCAAAGTGTCTTCACCTCCCTGCTCTGTGACTCTAGCCAACCTGGCTCCCAGGGCTGCCTGCAGTAGAAGGCCATCATGGATTTACCCTCTCACAACCCTATACTACATACACTTCCACCTTTTGGGTCCTGGGGGCCCTGAGCTCGGCGGATTAATGAGGGATATGAGTGGGAACCCCAGGTTCCCCCATGGGCACCAGCCCTCCCAGACAGGGCCCAGTGGAGGTGTATTGTGAGAGCAAAGAGCCCAGGAGTGGGGGCTGGAAAAAACCCTGGCCTGGCAGTCTAAAAATTGGGTTGTCGTTCTGGTTCAGTCATAGATTTACTGAGTGTCCTTGAGCAACACTTCCACTCTCAACCAGCTTTAGTTTTCATACCTGTAAACTGAGAAAGTTGGGGTAAATGATTTGCAAGTTTCAGGCAAAACATACCTTTGTGCAGTGCACTGAGCTGGACCCAGAAGGGAAGGGAGTGGTTAGGTCGGGAACATCAGGCTGCCTGCATGTAAAGCCTGGCTTGATCACTTTCAAGCAAGTGAGGGAGAGATTTATCTTAGCTGAGCCTGGGTCCTCTTATCTACAAAATGGCAATAATAAAGGTGCCCACTTCATAGTCTTCTTTCAGTGAGATAATGCATGTGAAAGGCCTGTTACATAAGAAACACAATGAAGACAGACAATTATTATCATATTATATCATTAACTAGGAAACTAGACACTTCTAGCATAAGGAAGAGAGGAGCTACACTGAAACCACTGCGTTAAGCGCATCATCTCATATAATCCTTACAACAAGCTTTTCTTTTTCTAAAACTTTTAATTTTGAAATAATTATAGACTCACAAGAAATTGCAAAAATAATGCAGAGAGGTCCCACCATACCCATCATCCAGCTTCCCCCAGTGTTAACTAAATCTTACATGTTGTTGTTGTTGTTTGCCATCGAGTAGGCCCCGACTCATAGCGACCCCTCCTTGGGTTTCCGAGGCAGTATCGCTACAGAAGTAGATTGCCCAACCTTCCTTCCAAGGAGTGGCTGGTGGGTTTGAACCACCAGCCTTCTGGTAAGCAGTCAAGTGCCTTAGGCACTATGCTACCAGAGCTCCTAAATCTTACATAGTAATAGTATAATATCAAAACCAAGAAATTGACATGGATACAATACTTTTAACTAGACTACAGACCTTATTCAGACTTTACCAGTTTTTACATGCACTCATTTGTGTGTGTGTGGTTTTATTAAAATTATCACATGTATAGATTTACTTACAGCAAACTTTTTTTTTTTAATTGTGATTTGGGTGAAAGTTTACAGAGCAAATTCACTTTCCATACAGCAGTTCACATACACTGACTACAATTTACCCCAATGCAACAGCTCCCCTCCCACTTCCTGCCTATAGTTACCTCTTCCCTGTGTCCATCCCTCCATACACTCTTGCCCCCTGAGCTGTCTCCCTGTGCATAAGCAGCCCTTCTTTCTTCCATGATTGTTCTCTCCAAGGAGTGTATCTACCTCAGGTAAATGTTCAACTCATATGCCTGCCTTTTGTTTGGCTGGAAGCCACAGGTGTGGGTCCAATTTCAGACCTGACAGGCAGCTAAGGGCCATAGTCTTAGTGGTTCTACCAGGTTCTATAAGACCAGCAAACCTGACCCCCGCTTTGTATTTTCCAAATGATTTTGAGTTTTATTCCACACTGTTCTCTCTCTCTATCCAGGATCTCCTACATAGATCCCCCTCCGAGTGGTTGACAGTGGTAGCTGGGCACCATCTAGTTCTTCCGGTCTCATAGTCGTATAGGCTGTGGACGCATGGTGTACCAATCACTTGGACTAATTGTTTCCATGAATCTTTGGTTTTCTTCATTCTTCTTTGCTCTGGACGAGGAGAGATCCATCATTGCATCTAGATGGCTGCTTGCAAGATTTTAAGATCCCAGTTGCTGCTCGCCAAACACTTACAGCAAACTTTTAAGTGACTTACAATACTTTTTAGAGGAAAGGCACCAAAGGAAGACATGGATTTTGGAGGAAGACCTGATTCTGCCTCCCTGGGTATGTGTCTTTGGCCAAAATGCTCAACTTCCCTAAGCTTTGGTTTTCTCTTCCATATAATGATAGTGATAATACTTAGAACAATGCCTAAAATGTAGTGACCACTTAATCCATTTAAGCTATTGTTTTTTTAAGAAAGCACATTTTGAAACATGACATAATGTATAGAAACAATTCATAATTGTTATAGAAAGAAAGAGAAGAGGACTATAAGAATGAAAAAAGGTGAGGGGGGCACAAAAGAAATTATTCATAATGCCATTTCCCTGAGATAACCATTGCTAATAATTTTACTCACAACAAAATGTTGAGGTAGATTTCATTATCCCCACTT